GAGAATAGGAAAATAGTTTTATTTCCAATTGGTTTTAAATTTTATATTCCATTTCCATCATTAATAAAAACATTTCTTATTTATCATACTTATTATTTTTTAATTTTATTATTTAATCATGGCAACATGGATTAATCCATTTGGCCAAAATGATTTAATTCCTTACCACCACCTAGATGAAAACACTATTTTTGTTAGGTAGGTTTTAAATGTATAAGCTTTTACGTTATTGGAATTATTAATTTATTAAGTATGAATTTAATTAATAGAACTTAATGATGAGGAAAAACAAAAATTACTTAAATATATGACTCAATGGACATGAATGCAAGTTATTAATTTAAATGTTGGATTTAATGAGAGAGAATTGAATGCATTGAATATCTTTAAATTACCACTTTTCAACTCATTTAATATCAAGAACAGATTACCCTCTATGCCCTCATTTTTTATCAATAAATTTAAATATAGAGGGGGTAAATTTTGTCCTTAGAAAAGTATAGAAATATTCTTAAGGCCATTTGTGCTTTTTAAAGTAGTATAGATGTTTCAGTTAAATAGTTGGAAATTTTGATGTATTTTCCTACTATTTTGTTTGTTTATTACATGGGCTTTGTTATGTGAAATTGAAAATGAAGGAGCCCATGACATTCCCAATTAAGTTAAGTCGGTCCAAGTCCGTCTCAAGCATTATCATACCTAATACCCAACTGAACTTTTGTCTTTAAAAAAAAAAATCCAATAGCAATTTTCAGGTGTTTTAAAGGAAATTTATAGGTGGACTTCCTCTCCTCTTTGTCTATTTCAGCTTCTTATAAATAAGAAAGTTGTATGTCCTTTGCCTATTGGTCCTAAAATAACAAAGTTATCTTTTAACTATTGTTTTTATTAAAAACTATTATGTGTGTTTGTGCACATGCTTGTTGGGTTTATGCCTGGCTAAGGTCACTAAAGTTGCATGTGTATAGTTGAGTTTGGCTTAGTTTAGGGTAGGGTCAAGCTAGGTTAGGCCGGGCTAAAGCTACCTAAAGGCTAACTCCAAACACAACATGAAAAATAAAAAAGCCTAGGATTTTGGACCCATTATAAAAATTGGACTCAAGGCATGAGTTCTAATTGGCTTGAGGTCAAGCCTGATCTTTCCAACCCAAGCTTAGCTTAGACTAAAAATCAACGTACTCGGGTTGAGTCCAAGCTAGGGTTGATGTTGGATTGGCCAATTGGGCTCAAGTGGGCCTATTAGGCTCAATACACTAAAAAAGTTGCATGAACCTATTTATATTTGTCATCACTAGTTTAAAGCTTTAAATAGGTTTTTTGCTATACATATGCAGGCCCTATCTCATGCTATGTGGAAAATCTGAAATTGGATCACAACAAGTGCAAAGAGCCCTAAGATATTCTCATTTCAACAGTTTTGGTTAAGCTAGTCCAAGTTCAGCCCAAGTTTCTTTAATGGAATCAAAATGAATTTTAAAAATTAATAAAGGTTCATTAATGTTTATTTTTATATCATTTTAATGGATCCTCTGTTTTATAAGAGCAGTTTTTTTTTTTTATAACGGTAATAATGGGGATACATGTATAACATTTTTTGACAGTTGAACCTTGAAATTTATTAAGACAAAACAAATGTTTAATACTATAAACGGGTTGAATAATGGAAGACTTGTGTGTGTAAGGCTTTGAAAAAAAATACGTCTTAACAACCTATATTAGTTGTCTTCTTCAGCTTGACTTTTAAAAATGGTTTTTATGCCCTGATTTACTAAAACAACTCAAAAAGCCTGTCATTTCAATTAGCATTTGGCAAACTAGATTAGAGCTTGAAAAAAATGAGAACTTTTTTTATATCACTCAAGACATGTAAGTTGGTCAACTGTTAAATTGACCATGATTCTCGTGTTCATTACCGCTATATTGGGTCCCACGATAATCGGAGATTTCAAAGAGTATGAGTTGCTCGGGTAACTAATACCATCCTATAAGGTGAGTAAGCAATTAACCCACGCACCAATAACGCTCTTCCTCCAATCTCTCTCCTTATTTGGATAACTTGTGATGGAGGGATACTTGGCGGGCCTCAGATCGCATCACGTGACATCGGCCAGATCAAATATTGCCCGCACATCATTAGCTGCTTTCAACCACTCTTAAGGCAAGGTCAACTATAAAAGAGGCTACTCATCTCAAGATAAGTATGTATATTCAGAATCCCAAAAGAATCATTCTTGGCTATTAAGGACTAAACTCTAAGCCCTCGTTCTTACCTGGTCTGACCCCTCTTAAGCACTTGGCTAACTTGACCGTCAGAGTCTCTGCGCCTAGGATAACTCCCGGGGCCTCTAACGTGTACTTTTCTCTTGTTTACAGATCGGACCTATCAGCCTCGAACACCAATGAAATCTCCTTGTTGCCCTCGGCCTCATATTTGGGAGCAACATTTGGCACCATCTGTGGGAACATTTTCAAGAATTTCTTTTAAAAATAACTTAACTTAATCAATCAAGTTTCCAACATGGCTAGTAAGTAAGACCAAATTCATAGCACTTAGAACCTAGTCATGATGGACCAATTCAAACTAGTCCTTGACAAGTTGGACAACCTAGCCTAGAGGTTGGATGAAGTAGGGCATCCAACAGGAGGACACCCACAGGGTGGCCACCCCGTCTAAAGCCAAGGGCAATACAGTGGACGATCCACCCAGGCACCACTAGGCCAATGCCTAATTAGCTAAGGGAAGGCCGACCCCTTAACGTCCAATAGTAGCAGCCGACGGGCTAGCAAGCCCCCATCGAAGACCTCTTGGCTCCCCAGCCGAAGAGACAAATCAGTGGGGTCCCACGACAACCACATGGACCATGATCGCCATCATCTCCATGCGGAGAGCAACTGGGACGATGGCGGGCACTCTAGCCACTACAGTCCTCCTTTGAGGGCTGGAGGATGATGCTACGCCTCTCCCCTACCAGTATTTGATCTTTGTGATCTCCAATGATTGCCAAGCTCGCAAGGCTCATGATATTCCTGCATCTAAGCACTCCAGGAATCGGGCTAACCCGTCACACGTGAAAGAGAACCTGGATGAGGTTCAAGCCCCCATCGATCGATGTCTTGATGACCTTCAGGCACAGATAGGCGCCATCCAAGATTAGAGCCCTCATGCTCCTCTATGGTTACTCTGATGCCCTAATGTATCAATCCTTTCAAGCCACCTTCAAGGGAGCATCACGTAGATGGTTCTTCGTGCTCCCCTTGGTCCATCTCCTCCTGGGACCAATTTGTAGATCTCTTCCTCTCTCACTTCATCAGCAACTGACGGTGCCAAAGGGTCGTCGTTTCCCTAATGTTCAACAAGCATAAGCACGGGAAAAGCCTTCGTGTGTACATGGGCCAATTCAATTGGGAAGAGCTTGAAGTAAGGGATCTTGACCCCTTGTTTCTATGCATGTGGTCATCAACGGCCTCCGGCCCAGACCTCTCAGCTAGTCCATCTCCAAGACTCCGCCTAGGAATAAGGCCATGTTTTTGAAAAAGGCACAAAAATACATCGCCGCCAAGGCACCTCTAGGAACCAGAAGCCGGGCCTAGCCGAGGGGCCCCCGATAAGAAGATGAAGGAAAGGGATGGCTACAACCATGGCAACACCAACAAAGACAATGAGAAAAAGCCTTTTTTTCAACAAATATACACCACTGAACTCCACCTGAACACATATACTAATGCAAGTACCACCGCAACACTGACCACGACACCAAGGACTGCTATGAATTCTAGGATGAGATCGAGTTCCTCATCCACCACGGGCACCTGAAAGAGTATGTCGGGGGCGACACCGGTGCTTCGTTCTCATAACGACAGCAACAGGCTGCACCCTAGGCCCATCACCCCTTAGCTAGAGTTATTGAAGTCATCGTTGGGGGCTCGACCTCGGGTGGAGCATCTGCCTCAGCCCGAAAGACATATGCCAAGCAATACAACATCTAGAGCCCAACACCCAAAAGGCCAAGGCCGGAAGACACCATCTCCTTCTCCGACGACGACCTGCAAGGGATCTCATTGCCCCATGACGATACATTTGTGGTGTCTATGACTATCTCCAATTACATGGTGAAAAGAATCCTCGTGGATAGTGGCTCCTTGGCCGACATCTTGTTCTATGATACATACGAGAAGATGCAGTTGACACCATATCAATTGCAACCTATGGACATGCCACTAGCCGGGTTCTCCAAAGCAGTCATCAAGCCCGAAGGGGAGATAACCCTATCAGTTACAATAGGAACTAAGCCTCGGCAAGTAACCCGGATGGTTGAGCTCTTGGTTGTGAAGATAGAGTCCCCATATAATGCCATCATAGGGAGGCTGGCCCTTCATGCACTCAAGGCAGCCATCTTGTCCTATCACCTCACCATGAAGTTGCCCATTGAGCATGGCGTGGGAGTAGTCAGGAGGAACCAACAAGTTGCTAGATAGTGCTACGTTGCAGCACCAAAGAGTTGACATCAGCCCATCACTTAACACAAAACATGGTGAACAACACACTAAATAAATGACACTACTACATCAAGAAAAAGGCACTCCGCAACCTCGACCACGTACCATTTGCTGGGCCTCGGCTATGCGCGAGTCCGGTCTTTAAGTCCCTAAGGAAGAATACGCCAAGCAGGGTAGGGCAATCACCTCCCTTCCTTTTTTCTAAAGAAGAGGGCCCCGAGACCTTGGCGACAAGGGTCGGTCTTGGCTTAACAGCCTTAAGGAGAAACACCTTCCCAAGTAGCCATGCCAAGAGTTACAAGTTTCTTTGCAAAATATGCCCCTTTGGGGAAGGAACTCAATATAACCAAAAAGTTTGTATATTCAATATGCTCACTCAATTTTCTTTACAAAAAAGAGGCCTCTGATGGGGGAGGTTGAGCCCCTTACAAAAGGTATGTCAAAGCAAAAGGAAAAGAAACAAAAAACTGTCCTAAGGGAGCCTCTACCCTACTCAAGTATCCTCACTTGGCCTCAATGTTGACATGCTCGTTGGTTGCCGCCTCCTGTTCCATGGGTTGTTCAACGTTGCCCTGGCCCTTGGTCGCGCCTGCCACCTCAAATACATGCTGGCTCAGAAGGCATGGACCTAGCTGGTTGATGTTTAAGTTGGGGAAGAACGCCAACGCTTGAGACCGGGTATCCTCGATCCCTTCCAGATAGGAAGTGGCGCCGAACTCATCCAATTCCTCCTTGTGGGCCTTGGAGGCCTTGTACTCCTCCACAGCTCGGGCGAACACCTCCTGAAGCCTCTGCTCTGCCTCATCCAGTGAGGCCCTAGTGGTCCTTAGTTGCTCCCTCTTAGCCTCCAAGTTGGCCTCAAGCTTCTTTCAACACTCGTGTGCCCCACAAGCCATCTCGGTAGCGGACTCTCGGTTGGYTCGCTCCTCGGTCAGTTGGCACTTTAGTTGTTTAATCTCCTCATGCGACGTCCACAACTATTGTATCATTACCTCCATTTTGTCACAGAGGCCGACAACACAAGAAGATGTCTGCAAAGATAAAAGGAATACATGTCAGTTAGAAAAATCTAAGTAAGAAAGCAATGGCATAAAGCAAGTGAAGGTTCAACCTTACCTTGGCCAGCTTGTCGAGCATCTGTTTCAAACAACCTGGGGGTAAACTTGAGTCCAAGATTGTCCATCTCCAATAGGAAGCATGTCGGTGATCAAGGCGCAGCTGACCCCTATGTTGCTTAGAGAGTCATCCTCCCTGACACTCCAGTTCGGGTGGAACACCCAATGCGCCGCTAACGGGATGTCATCTCACGGGTCCAAGGAGTGAGGCCCCGACTATCGAGATCCTCCTATAGATCCCTCAGCTCTACGGTCCCTCACCGCCACCTTCTTCATCCTCGGTCTTGTGGGGCAACGGCGACCGCTTGGGAGTGGTCACTTTCCTCTTATTGGCCTCGGCATTCCCCTTTGGCCGAGGTGGTTCCATCTCGCTAGGACTTCGTGAAGGCCCTTTGGCCAGGCCCTTCCTATACATGGCCATCGTTGCTTGCAAAAGTCTCTCCTTCAAGCTATCGTCCATCTTTGCAACCAAGGAAGATGACCAACGTTAGAATAAAGGCAATGAACATTAAGCAAGTGACACAACTAGTCGACAACAGGAATGTTCATACCAAGGGGGGTAGGACTGTGGCAACCAAAACTAAGGCCTCCTCCACCACTAAGGGCCTAGCATGAATCGTCCTAGTCAATTGAATCTGATTCATCATGGTTGACTCCTCCTCGCTACTATACGGCTTGATCCTCTTGGTTAATGAGTCTGGCATTCCCCAGTCAGACCAGGAGGACCACCCTTGTGGACAATTAATGAAAAAAAAAACTTCTTCTTCCAGTTGTGGACAGATGATGGGTTGTCCACTACCCTACCCCATCAGCCTTGAAAGTACCACATACCTTCTCAGTCTGGATGCTTCCTCAATGCGAACAGACCCCGAAAGACTTTTAGGGTCACAAACACATTTCGGAGGCAAGCCATCACCAACACGACCACTATGGTCTTAATGGCATTCGAAGCAAACTGGATGAGGGAAATGTTGTAATAGTTGAGGATTTCGGGCACGGGAGGAGGCAAGGGAAAACGAAGTCCGAAGTGGAGATAGTACTAATGCACACACACACACACACACACCCCTCCCCCTCACCAAGCTGCCACGATCGATCACCTACACAGGGAATTCTAACCCTATAGCCCCCTAGGATATGATACATCTTGGATAGATCCCTTACTTACTCTTTGTCGAGCTCACTATTGAAGTTGGAGTGGGGATGATGCATCAATGTCATGCCTCGGCGTTCGGCCTTGGCCCACTCCTCGGGTGTAGGTTCTTCAGCCTCTTTCGGCTCTACCACTTCAGAAATCATAGGGGCATTCCCCGTGGTGTCGGCCTTCGACCTCGTGGAGCAAGTACTTTCATCGGGAGAATCTACGCCCTATTGGTCGCACTCGGCTCCCCGTGGGGTGGTCATCTCCCTCAATACTTGGACGTTAGATGCTCGAGGGGAGCTCACAGAATCATTGTTGTCACTCCCACTACTAGTCAAGGTGGAAGAAGAGCTGCTAGGGTCACTCTAGTCAGGAAGTTCATAGCACTCAGGTCCAGAGTCTGAGGCCGACATGTTAAAGATGAGAGTCCTTTACCTAGTGTTTGTTCGAGGAAAGAAGACTTAGGGAATCAGTTGATTGGTAACCGAGGTCTCTGTGATCATAGGTGAAGGCTCAAGGTTTAAGCAAATGATGAAGACTCACTCAACCAACATCCCTATTTAAAGGAAAGCATATGGCTCATATCTCTTTGATCGAACGGCTGCGGACTAGACGATTTTAGAGCTTGAACCGATGAGCTACACGTGGCGTCGACTTCAGGAAGATGAAACGACACCAAGGAATGAACCAAACGGACACCCCTCTGCACTGTTTCGTGCACGGCCTCGACTGGTCAACACCGACGTTGTACGAACTTGCACTGGGTGACATCGACAACCATACGGGGCACAACCGATGAATGTGGATGTCCCACACCTGTGTCTGTCACGATCACGCGTTCTCGACCCATAATGATCCTCCACTGAGGCGGGGAGCAAACAGGGAAGTAGTCGCCACATAGTTGCCAAGAAGAGTCCTGTACAGCTGAGGCCAACACCTTCATGCAACTCGATGATATTCTCTTTGGCCAAAGCCGAGGTCTTCACTCAACACGGCAAGGTCAACTATAAAAGGGGGTACTCATTTGAAGGTAAGGATATATATTCAGAATCCCAAGAGAATCATTCTCGACTATTAAGGACAAAGCCCTGAGTCATCATCTCTTGCTTGGTCCAACACCTCTTAAGCACTCGGCTAACTTGATCGTCGGAGTCCCCGCCCTTGGGATATCACCCAAGGCCTCTAACATGTACTCTTCTCTTGTTTACAGATCGGATTTGTCGGCCTTAGACACTAGTGAAATCTCCTTGTTGCCTTCGACCTCATATTTGGCAACAACAATTGGCGCCATCTAGTTTGGAAGAGATCTCAGACCAAAACAATAAATTATGGTTTGAGAAATTCTCAAACCAAACCAAACTAAACCATTTTACTGTAGAAACTAAACCAAAATGGTCTGGTCCAGTTTCTTATATGGTTTGAGTCATTCTATTGAGCTTAACCCAATTTGCAAGTACAAATATATATATATATATATATATATATATATATATATACACACACACACACACACACATACTACTTTAAAAAGCACGAATAGCCATAAAAATATTTCTGGAATTTTCTTAAGACAAAATTTATCCCTCCATATTTAAATTTATTGATAAAACAAGAGGACAAATAAGGTAATCGGTTGGTTATATTAAATGAGTTGAAAAAGGTAATATTAAGATATTCAATGCATTGAATTCTCTCTCATTAAATTCAACATTTAAGTTATTGACTTGCATTTATATTCATTGAATCATATATTTAAGGCATTTTTGTCTCTTCTCATTATTAAATTCTATTAATTAGATCCATACATAATAAATTAATAATTTCAATAACATAAAAACTTATACGTTTAAAATATACCTAAAAAATAGTGTTTTCATCTAGGTGATAGTAAGAAATTAAACCATTTTGAGTCAAATGGGTCAATCCATGTTTTCACAATTAAATAATAAAATGCAAAAATATAGAAATTAAAAAACTTAGGGAAACTTTTATCATAATATATTCAACATATTAAACAATAATAAGTATGATAAATAAGAAATGTTTTAATTAATGATGGAAATGGAATATAAAATTTAAAGCCAATTGGAAATAAAACTATTTTCATGTTCTCTCTCATTAAATTTCATATTTAAGGTATATTCTCTCATTAAATCATATATTTAAGATCTCATCATTAAATTCTACTAATTAAATCTATAATATTAATTTTAATAGTATAAAAATAAATATTTTGAAAACAAAACCATTTTCTTCCCACTTGGTGGTGGATAAGCAATTTAACCATTTTGGTCAATGGGTTAACTAATAATGCCATAATTAAATAATAAATTAAAAATAAATAAAATATCAAAATACAAAAAAGAAAAAAGAATTGGGTATATTTCTAATATTATATATTCATTATACTAAACAAAAATAATTATTATATATAAAAAGTAATTTTATTAATGATGAAAATAGAATGTCAAATCTAAAATCAGCCTAGAAATGAAATGATGGCATAATAAAATAAGAAAATATTTAGAAATAAAAAATACAAAGGATTACAAAAATAAAGAAAAAAATAGAAAAAAAATTGGAGCACCTTTTTGTTGTTATATATTTATAAAAAATAAAAATATTGGGTACACTTATAATATTATACATTCATTATATTGACAAAAATAAGTATTATACAAGAAATAATTTTTTCAATGATGGAAATGTAATACATAATTTAGTGTTGACCAAGAAATCAAACTATTTTTCTTTTTAGGTGGTAGGTTAGTGGTTTGGATCAAATGGTTTAATCGATGATATGATAGTTGATGTAGTGCGATCCGGTCACTCCTATCTGGCACTCGTGTGGCTTCCCAAGAAGTACCTGAGATGAGGAAGAAGAAGAATCCCCGGGGGGTTCGCTCGGCGGGAACACTCCGACGATTAAGTCAGTATTCTGAGTAAGAAGCAAAGAGAAGGTAAAAACTAAGAGTGAGGTAGCACAAGAGATTTCAAGATGATACCTCCGTTCCTTGATACTAGCTCCTTATAACATAAATCCGTTGTATCAGGCCCACAGGCCTCTGACAGGGTGGGTATAACCGCCACTGTCAGCCTGCCGCAGCCGTTACTGACAGGGCTGAGGTGGCACACGCGGGGCCGTCGTCGCAGTGTACATACCTGTCAGGTGTAAGGCACCCTCTGAAGGTGGAAGACACGACGCTGTCTGACAAGGGATATGGCCGCTGTTCCCAGATTTGTCGAGTATGGTGGTCGGCAAAGGGTCTTCCTGCGATGTGACGGACTACCCTTCCCCGAGCTACCCTGTGCCAGGTTATCTCGTAAGCGACGTGCTGCCTGTGGCAAGCTATGTCAAGCTGGCTGACACGAGGTGTCTATACCTTGGGGTGTCCGGAGATGGATCGGTGCGTTCTTGTCTAGGAGTGGCCTGAGGTCCATTGGGAGGAGCTCGGGCCTCAAGAGAGGTCAGAGCGCCCCGAAGTGCCTTAACCCCGGGGATGAGGTGCACGTAAGGTGGCTCCCAGCGAGTAGTTTATCCGCCCAGTTGCCGAGCTAAACTCGGAGGGAAGGAGGGACCTTCCCTTCGAGTTGTGGTTGCATCCGTTGCGCTGTCATGCTGAGTCACTGTTTGAGTAGGGTCACGCCCACGTGTACCTGTGCTGCGAGGTCGGGCCAAATCACCCTCCACCAATTGCCCCCCACTCCCTGTGCTGGCGGCGATGACCCAACGCAGGGAGGTCATGACGCGCCGGGTGGATTTGGCATTGGTACTTATGTCACTCCGTCTGCGTGCTCCATCCAGCTGAACCAGTCTAGTACCCAGTTCAATCAAAAGAGACCTGAGTCGCGCCCAGTTTACGCGCGGACCTCACGCAGTT